AACAAAACATTTTAAATGCCATATTCTAAAGGTTTTTGAAGTGTTTGAAGACCATTTATCTATCTAATATATATTCAATTTGGAAAATATCTAATGTTACTACAAGTTTGATTATCATAGATTAACTACTAACCCAATTTCTTAATTATACATTGCATTTAAATGAGCTGCATAAGCTCAATTCTCCAATAAAGAGTAGAAACATGTATAGTGAAACAAAAATGAACTTTAAATTTTTATTGGTATACCAAAATTTATGCCTATGCAAAATATTTGAGTGTAAAGTGGTTTTTTTAAAACTATGTTCCTATATACCCCTAAATGATAACACACACACACACACACACACACACACACACACACACACACATATACACACACACACACACCTATAACCCACCAAATATCCATAAGCCTCCCACACCACTCTTGGGAATTCGGGCATCATGTTCCCCAAATTGCTCTGCAGTCTGTGGGTGAAAACATCTTTAGAGTCAGAGAGAAACAATTTGAGATAATGTCCAATTCCAGGGAAGACAAGATATAATCTTTGTTGAAAGATGTCACATTTCAAGATTCAGGCCTTATCTGATCAAACCTGTTTCATTTCATTCCTGAAGGAATCTATAGCTTGTCATCTTTTGTGGGAACAAAAGCAAAAACTCTTCTCCAAAGCACTTTTTTTTTATATGACAAATATATTTTTGACTTCCATTTTAAAGTTAAATGTATCTATCTTTGTCCAGTTTTACAGTCTTGTTCACAATAATCCATAAACTGTTATTTTTGTTCTTTTGGGGAGCTCACCACCAAGTTCCCAAATACATAACATATGTGGAGGCTTATTCTTAATTATAAATGGTTGGCCTTAGCTTGGTGTGGTCTTGCCCATTTTCCTTAACTTTAAATTATGCTGTCTACATTTTGCGTTGTGCTTTTTTCTTTTCTTCTATATATCGTACTTTTACTCTTACTCCTTGGTGACTGATTGTGTGGCTGTGTGGCTGGCCCCTAGAGTCCTCCTCTCCTTGTTCTCTGGCTCCTTCTTTTCCTCCAAGATTTCTTCTATATATTCTCTCTGCCTGCCAGCCCCTCTTATCCTTTCTCCTGCCTGACTGTATGCTATTATGCTCTCTTTGAATTGTTTGAGTGCTGAGGAAGGAGCAACAGCTGCTAAAAGATATTTGTTTATAAATGCTGCTGAACTAATCCAAGATAGATATTTTGAAAATACCTTGATTTCAGAATTTGGATCTAAGGTTATGATACTTTGGAAAAGAGATTCTTCTTTTGTTTTTATAGAGGATGAGACCCTGTGGATTGCTTCTATCCCAATAGGGTATGACAGACCACGCCCTCCTGAAAGGTTGCTATGAACACTCTCAAAAAATTACTAAACTCAACTGCTGACTGAGATGAATCTAGCACACAGGTTACACCATAAAAGACCTGATTAACAGCGCCCCCATACAGCAGGAAGCAGTTTAGAGAGAAAAAACTGCACCCATGTCCCAAATTTTGTTTATAAATGTTCTTTTACATTTAAAGGGGGATATGATATAGATAGGAATAATTTGCATTGATATGGATTTTGCTTTAGTGATTTAAATTTAGGGTCAATTTTGTTAAATGTATATGTATTTCTGACCTTGACTAAGGTATTGTGATTATGTCATTCATGTAAAAATGTAATGTATATAGGTTGTTAATGGATAATCATTAATAATAATCAAGTTTGTAGTCATTTTAGATTTTCTAGATGTACATAGATATATTTTAGATAGATATTCTTCATGTCTTTCAAAGACTACAGAATATGACATTTAATGTCTTTAATAACTTAGAGCTTTTCATGACAATGAGACACATTTGCTCCTGGCAGCACCAATCTACTTCAAGAGGAAGATGGGCATCGAAGAGGCTCCTTATGGAGTTTGATAGCCATTTGGGCAAGAAAGTGCTCTTGCCTGGGCTGTTGCATAATGGACACAAAGAACTCGCAGAAAGAGGACTGCTGAACTTGCCTAAAAATAAGATTGTCTTTCGGAGTTCCTGATTCATGAAAGAGTCTGTGAGACATTCTGCAGGACACAGCAGAAAGTGACTGAACTGTCCTTGAAATTTCCCGCTTCATGGAAATGTCTACTGGATACTATGGGACTGTAGGCCGAAGATGGATGCTCCAACGATATAGGGGAACTCTGGGTGACTGTCCAGGCAGCGAGATGTCTCTGTCACTTCTAGAGTTTTGGAAGTTTCTTACATCTTGTTTACTTAGGTAATATTATATCCTTCTGGAGTCTTTGATGAAGTTGAAGACTAGATAGATAGTTATTGTTTTCTTTAGTTATGATAAAAGATAAAGTAGATATAAATATTGTAACTGTAATTCTTACTTGATAACTGTTTTGTTATATGTAATTTTACTGTGTTAAAGTTAAAGCCTTTCCTTTTTGTTTAAACAGAAAAAGGGGAAATGATATAGTATTGTTATCTGTCAACCTGTTTGTGTTGATTTCATTGGTTAATAAAGAAACTGCATTGGCCCTTGATAGGACAGAAAATTAGGTAGGCAGAGTAAACAGAACAGAATGCTGGGAGGAAGTGAGGCAATTGCCATGCCTCTCCTCTGTGGAGTAGACACGATGAAGCTCCTGCCCAAGATGGACATAGGCTAGAATCCTTCCTGGTAAGCTACTGCCTCGTGGTACTACACAGATTATTAGAAATGGGGTAGTCGAGATGTGAGAGGTAGCCAAGAAGAGGATAGAGCTAAGGGGCCAGGCAGTGTTTAAAAGAATACAGTTTCCGTGTAATTATTTTGGGTAAAGCTAGCCAGTGGCCGGGAGCTGGGTGGCGGGAACTAGCCATTCAGGTACTTATTAGACCATCAAGTATTTTGTATGGGCACAGCAACATAGCTTCACAGTGTTAAGTAAATGCAACACACTTTTGCATCTTCAAATTTCCTTAGAATAACCAAATGTAACACATCTTAAAATATAACATTTCCCCTCTTTGTCTAAACAAAAATGAAAGATTTTAACTTTAACCTATTAAAACTACATACAATCCAAACAACTATCAAGTAAGAATTATGTGTACAATAAGCTGTCCATTTGTACTTAGCATATTCAGAGAAAATAATGCATGATCTATCCTATCATAATGAATCCAAAATTTGACACCTAACTTACTTTCTATCATAACTAAGAAAACCTGCAACTATAACTATCTAATCTTTAGCTCCATCAAAGACACAGAAGGATGTAATATCATCTAACAACAGAGACATTTGGCTGCCTGGAAAATCACCCACAGTTCCTCTGTGATGTATGGGTATCCATCTTTGGCTTACAGGCCCAGAAGAGCTGCAAAACTTCTCAGTGAAGCAAAAAATTTGAAGGTCTATTGTACCTTATGTTGACAAAGTTCAGCAGCCTTTTTTCCTGTGTGCCCTCCATGTTCAGCCTGCACAGCACATTGCCAGCAGTCATAGGCAAGAGCAGTTTCTTTGCCCAGTGGCTAATCTTGCTGCAATGAAAGCAAATTCCAGTCCAGTTTCTTCAGTTGTGTATGATCTCTGAAGTAAATTGTTGCTGCCAGAAGCAGATGTGTCTCATTGTCATGAAAACCTTAAGTTAACAAACCATTATTAATTATTAGGAGGAGCCCTTCAGGATAAAATTCCTCATTGGGGATATGATATGAATCTCTGTAGAATCAGCCTATTTCCTGTTGCTTGTGTCTACTGTGTTATGGTTGAAACTAATCTGTCTAGCTTCCTTGTGGTGTCATGCCTTCACCATTATTATAGACTCTGTTCCTACATCATATACAATTCAATAGAAGTAACTGCTATTCAGTGTTAAGGCAGTTTGGTAGTCTACTGTTTTAATTTTTGCTTGTTTGTTTTCAAAGACAAGGATTGTCTGTGTAGCCCTAGCTGTCCTGAAAGTAGCTCTGTATACCAGCCTGGCCCCACAGTAAGAGTTCCCTGGACTGTGGCTCCCAAGTGCTGGAATTAAAGGTGTGCCAACATTCCTGACTTTCTTGTTTTCATATTATTGGATGATGGTTTTGCCTCTGTCAAGCATATACTGTTGTCCTGAGCTTTACCCATATCTTAAATTTTAAAATTTGGCAAAGGTCATCATTCTGTGTCTCAGAATGGCATGTATTCATGACTTTAGTCCTAGCTGAGTTTTCTTAGCCTTTGGATCGCAGGTGCATAACCTTATTCCTGACTGTTGTATTTGTTCTGAATTTTTTATTGAATATGAGTATTTTACCTGTATGCATGGATATGCTCCATATGGGTACATGGTTCTCACAGTAATCAAAAGATGGTCCCAGAAACTCTGAACTTGGAATAATGGAAAGTTATGATCACCCATGCATGTGCCTAAGCCCAACTATATGCAAGACCAGCAAGAGTTCTTTACTATTGAGCCATTTTTCCTGCCTTGTATTGGTTATTTGTGATTAACATTCATTTTTCTGTTGTTTTAATCTATCCATTTGTAACTTCTTAAATATACAGTGCCTCTTAGTAAAATCATTTTGATGTTACAGTTTAAATAGGGGCATTTTAGGTTTCTGGAAGATGAATAAAGAACTGGAGTGAATGCATAACACTTCGTTAGAACTTCCGCAAAAACCCTGAGTTTTTCCTCATCTTTTTTTTTTTTTCTTTTTTGTTAGACTGACTTTTTGCATGGGAAACAGTGTCTTAATATGTACTTCTTGCTGTCCTGGAAATGACTACATAGACTAGGCTGGCATTCAACTCAGAGGCAGTACATGCCTCTGCTTTGGAGTGCTGGGATTAAAGGCAAGAGTCATTGCACCCAGGTTGCCCATCTTATTTTTCTCTTATCTAGTTAGGAATTGTTTATATACAATTTCTCTCATGTGTCCCCGTACTGTTGATCTGTTTGTCTTTCTTTTTCAGTAGGCTTTTCTCTTGCAAGGTGATATCCCTTTCAAAGGGAACAGAAATGACAAAGGTGAATCTCCTATTCAATTTCCTTCTAAAGTAACTTGGTGATTCAATTATTATGTCTATGTCATGGAATAAGAGTGTGGAACACCAGAGTTATATGACTATACTGTCAAAGAAGTATATATGTATAATATTGCCAGTAACATGTTTTCTGTTATACATGTGTATGGGATATTTTAGAATGCAGTGACCTATGATGACGTGCATATCGACTTCACTTGGGAAGAGTGGAATTTGCTAGATCAATCCAAGAAGACTCTCTACAAAGATGTGATGTTGGAGACCTACAGGAACCTCACTACCATTGGTAAGACTGAATTTTCCTTCATGTGTTAAAATTTTAAGGGGACAACTGTTTGTTGGTTCTTGATGTTCTTCTGTAATTTGATTGAGAAAGAAGAAGAATGAGGTGAGTACAACAGGCATAGTTCTAAAGTTCACTAGAGATAGTAGTTTTTTTTTCAAATTTGCAGTAATAGAACATTTATTTTCTGGCATTATCTTTTAGGATACAACTGGGAAGACCATAATATTGAAGAACATTGTCAACATTCTAGAAAACATGAAAGGTAATTTTCATGTGCAAGCTGATACAAATGTGCCTCTGAAGAAATTGTAATCTGTCCTGGAATTTTTAAACAAAAGCAACAGTGTGAATGATCACAACTTAAAGTGCATCGGAGATTATTAAATCCTTACAAAAGCATATAAGATTGGTGAGTTTCATATGTAAGGCATCTTTTTAAGAAAGAAGTCAAGGAAACAATGCCTTAACATATGTTGCCATTTTAATTATAGCTCCATGAGAGCTATGATGTAGAATTGTCATTCCATTTATTTCATATTGCTCACATTGCAAAAGGTATACACATTGAAGAGCTGATAAGTATATCTCCAAAACTTTGTAATACACAAATTGACCTTAGTAAAACTAGTATAACTCATATACTTGTGACTGTGATAAGTGCTAAGTTTTTTGAGGTGGCAGAGTCAAGGGGCAAGGGGCAGTTGTTCTAGAGGAACCTTAATACCTATATCACAAGTCTATGAGGACAGAAAGTCAAACTGTGTATTCAATGGGAAATCTTATGTTTTTTATTCTTCCTTCATTAGCTCTATTATATTTCTGTCTGGTTACAAGACATATGAGCATAGGCATGTGGAAAGATATAGCATACCTCCCTCTCAGAATAATTAGAAGATATGTAACAGTCCCCACATTGAGTATTCTTGTTGAATTTGATTAAAGTATAGAAGTAATTTCTTTTTTATTTCTATTGTTAATTCATTAACAAACTCACATGGCCTAAAAGCCCCATGAGTACTAGGACTGTATAAATACTTCTGTTTGCCCTAGTGCAGGTAGCAGATGTAGTATCACAGTATAGGAAACTTTATGAATGCAATCAGGGTGGTAAAGGTTTGATTTTTTTCCAGTTCTATTCAAATTTCTGAAAAATCTCATATAGAAAATAGGTTCTGTAAATGAGAACCATGTAATAAAGGATGTTACCATCACAAGTTTCTCCAAAGATGCAAAACAAATCATAGTAAAGGGTAAACACAATTATAAAACTTTAAGATAATGAGAACCATGTAATAAGGGATGTTACCATCACAAGTTTCTCCAAAGATGCAAAACAAATCATAGTAAAGTATAAACACAATGATAAAACTTTAAGATATAATTCTTCTTTACAATTGGACCAAATTGTAAAATTAATTCATAAAGAGAAAGAAGATTCAACAGTGAATTGAATATGATAATGCTTTATATGTGCCATTATATCTTTGCAGACATGAAAGAAGTCAAACTGGAGAGAAAACTTCTGAATATACTCAATGTACTACAACCTTTGCATATAACAGTCATCTTCAAAAGCATGAAAGAACACATACTAGAGAGAAACTCTATGAATGTAATGAGTTTGTTAAAGCCTTTGGACATCACAGTCATATTCAAATGCATAGAAAAACACATACTGGAGAGAAACCATATGAATGTAATCAGTGTGGCAAAGCCTTTGTTTATCACAGTCATCTTCAGATGCATAAAAGAACCCATACTGGAGAGAAGCCCTATGAATGTAATCAATGTGGTAAAGCCTTTGCATCTCACAGTCACCTGCAGATGCATAAAAGAACCCATACTGGAGAGAAGCCCTATGAATGTAATCAATGTGGTAAAGCCTTTGCCCAAAAGGGCAATCTTCAAATGCATAAAAGAACCCATACTGGAGAGAAACCCTATGAATGTATTCAGTGTGGTAAAGCCTTTGCATCTAAAGGTCATCTTCAAACGCATAAAAAAACACATACTGGAGAGAAACCCTATGAATGTAATCAATGTGGTAAAGCCTTTGCATCTCACAATTATTTTCAGATGCATAAAAGAACCCATAGTGGAGAGAAACCCTATGAATGTAATCAAAGTGGTAAAGCCTTTCCATCTCCCAGTTATCTTCAAATACATAAAAGGACACATACTGGAGAGAAGCCCTATGAATGTAGTCATTGTGGTAAAGCCTTTTCATGGATGTGTAGTCTTCGAAAACATGAGAAAAAATCATACTGCAGAGAACCTCTATAAATGTAGTCAGTGAGGTAAAATTTTGCCCTTCATGCAGGAGTAAAACTTACTGTGTGCAATCAATATTTACAGTCTTTGCATATCACAGTAATCTTTGACTACCTGAAAAAATATTGAGGGCTTCTTATTGCAATCATTTGGTAAGATCTTTAGCCAGCACACTTATAATCAGTTGCACAAGAGTATTTATTAAGTAGAAAAAAATTTGTGTCAAAATCTGTTCAAGCATTTTTATATCTGATTTTATATTGTTTGTACCAGCAAACTCATGAAAAAATAATTTATGAATTTATGAAGCCATATATATGTATAGGGTAGAAGGGCTAGCTAACGAAAAGCACCCTGGCTCTAAAGCCAGCACTTGTTAAAGACACATACTTTGGTGCTGAAATCAGAGTCAATGAAACACACCTTACCCCTGAGTTCAGAGCCAATGAAAGAAACTCGCTGACCCCGAAAACAGATCCCAAATGTTAAAAGGGGACAATGAAGAAACACACATTTTCCCTGGACCTGGAGCCAAAGAAACACACTCTACCCCTATCCAACGGAGCACAGAACCAGTTGATGTGGGATTCCTTTCTGTATATGTGTTGCTTTTATTGGTTAATGTTTTCCCTTCCCCCATCCTGACCATCATATTCCCTCTCAAGTTATCCTCCCCTTCCCTTCCACCCTCCTCCCTTTCTAACCTCCCTTCTCGCTCCACCCCCTTACTCCCATTTTTATAAGGAGCTCTTTCTATTTACCCTTCCCAAGGAGAAACTATATATGTTTCTTTTAGGGTTCTCCTTGTTACTTAGTTTATCTGGGGCTAAGGACTATAGGCTTTCTATCCTTTGCTTTACAGCTAGTATCCACTTATGAGTGAGTACATTCCATGCTCATCTTGAAATTTGCATGCAAATGGATCAAATTAGAGAAAAACATTCGGAGTGAGGTAGCCCAGACTCTAAGAGAATTCTAAGAGACATTTATATCTCTCCCTTTGGTAAACAAATAGTGAAATAGCAGATACATGAAATTCTAATTTCCCTAGGAATTTTATTGTGGAATAAGACCGATTCCTCCAGATGAGAATGTCTCTCCTGAAGAAACATTCACTCTTTATTTGACCACTTTGCAGTAGAGACAGGATCTAAGGTTGGGGGACATTTGAGAGATGTTAAAACTTTCACTACATGGCTTAGTTTTATTGCTTAGTTGTGTATATCTCTTGCCATTTATCTCAACCTGTTAGGACCCCAAGAATGGATTAACTGCCTTATGTCTTCCTCAGTGTTCCAAATTAGTCACAATGAAAAAAAGTCATGTTTTTAATTTTTTATAATAATTTGCTCATTTTTCTTTTTTATTGCCCTCTTTTTATTTTGAAGAATAATCTCACTATGAATCTCTGGGTATCCTGGAGCTCACTATATAGACTAAGTTCTTGTAGAACATCAGATTTGCCCACCTTGTCTCCAGTATACCTGATTTATAGGTGCGCACACAGCAGACAACCAGCCGAAAAAGACTCCCATCAACTGCAGCCCTTCTGCCTCAAAATCCACTGTTTTTCAAATACAAGCCATATTGCTTTTTTTTGTCTTTGAGTCTATTGTAATTTATCAAGTGACTTTGGCAAGGTACTGTCCTTATTTTATATATAGTAAAGCTCTGGCTTATGCAGATAAGTATTTTTTTTAATATACTTGTATAGCTTCATCTTATTCATCTCATCCTTCTAGTGACTCACTAAATGAAGTTGAAGCCATCTAAGCCAGCTATGGTGGCATAGGCCTGTAACCATGATACTTAGTGGAGGCAAGAATTCAGAGTCGTCCAAGATGAAAATGGTCATTAGGGTATGGTGGGAGGCCGATGGAACCTTGGGAGACTGTGATTATCTCAGGACAGTGTCCATAGTATCCCCTGTAGCTGTAAAACTTCAGGGCTATGGCACTAGGAAGTGTTAGCTGAGGTATTTACCATTCAAAGTTTTCTTGATAATATTTTCTCTTCAAGGCACTTAAGATACTTAAGGGTCAGACTCAAAAAAAAAAAAGAGTAAAATTCTCCTGTTAGTAGGTTATTTAGCCTCAGGCAGGGATGTTCTTTCTATTTGTATATCCAAAACCGAGTGTTCAGTACTGAAATCATAACATACAATGAATATAAATGTACTCAATAGGTCTCATAAATTAACACATATTTATTCACACATACTTAACAAGGCATGAATTTGAAGGGAAGAATTTGGAAACGGAGAGAGGACAAGGAAGAGTGAAAGTGATGTAGTAAGTTTTAATTAAAATGTATTAATTAAAATAATTTTTAATTAATTAATAAAATAATTAATTAAATAATTAATTAAATAATAATTAAATAAAATAATTAATTAAAATAAGTTTTAAATAAAATGTGTGGCTTGAGAGATATAGATTCACAGTTAAGAGCACTGGTGTTGTTGCAGAGGACACAGGTTAAATTGCCAGGAACCAGGATTGCTAACCATCTCCTATAACTCAAGTTTCAAAGGATATGATTCCCTCATCTGGCCTCTGCACGTACTGAACACAGACACATGAGAGCCAATACCCATTAACATAAAATAAAGCTTAAAATTCAGTTCTTTACAGTAATGTCACACAGTCTTGAGACAGCAGTCTCTGCAGCCTTCCTTTAAGCCAACTTGCATGGAGGTAAAAGAAGCCTCATTCTGAGGTTAGAATAGTTCAGAACAGCTGTTCATTTAAGATCATTATTCACAGTGGGGATATGTGACTTTTTTTTTTTTTTTTGATTTTTCGAGACAGGGTTTCTCCATAGCTTTTGGTTCCTGTCCTGGAACTAGCTCTTGTTGACCAGGCTGGCCTCGAACTCACAGAGATCCGCCTGCCTCTGCCTCCCGAGTGCTGGGATTAAAGGCGTGTGCCACCACCGCCCAGCGATATGTGACTTTCACATTTTTTTTTTTAAATTTGTGTTCTCTGTCTTTGGATTGTGTGAGCGTTGTGGCACTGATACATCTTTTAAATATATCATTTTTTTTTTTTTTTGGTTTTTCGAGACAGGGTTTCTCTGTGGCTTTGGAGCCTGTCCTGGAACTAGCTCTGTAGACCAGGCTGGTCTCGAACTCACAGAGATCCGCCTGCCTCTGCCTCCCGAGTGCTGGGATTAAAGGCTTGTGCCACCACCGCCCAGCGATATGTGACTTTCATATTTTTTTTTTTTAAATTTGTGTTCTCTGTCTTTGGATTGTGTGAGCGTTGTGGCACTGATACATCTTTTAAATATATCTTTTTTTTTTTTTTTTTTTTGGTTTTTTGAGACAGGGTTTCTCTGTGGCTTTGGAGCCTGTCCTGGAACTAGCTCTGTAGACCAGGCTGGTCTCGAACTCAGACTTTGCCTCCCGAGTGCTGGGATTAAAGACGTGCGCCACCACTGCCCGGCTTAAATATATCATTTAGATGTTAGACTATGATCTATTTTTTAAATCATGCATAATGGTATATTTATATTTAGCTAATAATGCTTCATCTAAAAGATAGTTTTGCTCTGTAAATCTATCTGCCTACGTGATTAGACTCGCATTCTCCTGTCCCTGTTTAAATTGTTCAGTGTATAATCTCAGGTAGGAACCTAAGAGACTTAAGGATGACAGCATATGTGGAATGCCAACTCTGTGCCAATCTGACTCCCCTTCTAGCATTGACCACCATTGCTTGTGTGTAGTTATTAAAGAGATTTTTCTTTATTAAACCTTTAAATGTGTGGAATGAGTCATCCTTGGAAAGTCATTAATTCTAGAACAGCAGCACCTCCAGACTTGTAAAAAAAATATTTCTGAGACAAATTTTCTTATGTTGAGTCTGGTAGCCTTGAGCCCACACCATTGCTCCCCCGGCCAATGACCTTGCTGCCCTTGTGATTATACCAACTACATTTTATATATTAAAGAACTCAACCACCAATGAGTCTTAAAATACCAAATTTGAGTCATGTAGTCAACTGTCCATTTCAGTAACAGAAAAAGGATTTGTTTGTGAAGCATGGCTTCTGCCTTCAGACCAAAATAAAAGGAATAGTTTATTGTATACACTGTAGAAAGAAACTGGGTAGGCAAACAGCTGCTGAAGTCACCATTATGAAATAGGACCCGATTGTGGCAGGATCAGTGATTTTTGTCATTTCCCAGCATTAATTTATCCATCTTAGGTAAATGATGGCAGGACAGATTTTGGGTGTACTATTTGGGAAGATTAGTTTGCACCAATGAATATTGAGTTTCCAACAATGAAATTCTCATATGCTGATATGGGCAATCCTTCTTGTCATGGTTATATCCATTAACTGTAGCTGTATATGTCAGGTCACAGGTCTTATGAGCTAACATTGAACATAATTGCATGGTGCAATAATACCAATAATTAATGCCAATCCCTTTATCAGGGTATGGTTTTCTCATTTTCAAAGTCAGTATGGCCTTTGTGTTTTCTCAATTATATTTATCTTTTTAAAAAGACAGCCGAGCGGTGGTGGCACACACCTTTAATCCCAGCACTTGGGAGTCAGAGGCAGGCGGATCTTTGTGAGTTCAAGACCAGCCTGTTCTACAAGAGCTAGTTCCAGGACAGGAATCAAAACCACAGAGAAACCCTGTCTCGAAAAACCAAAAAAAACAAAAAACAAAAAAAACCCCACAAAACCCCCAAAAACAAACAAACAAACAAAAAAACCAAAACAGTTATTTGTTTCAGTTTTTAAGTTTTATTTTCCTTAAATACACAATGCTTTAATCTCTTATTTGTTTCTATTTCCCATTGTTCGCAGGTCATTAAGAATTTCTTTTTATCTTTCTCAGTTGTTGCTAATTATTTGTTTAGAGCAATGTCTCTTGTAGTTTATGCTAGCCTCAAACTATGATTTGACAATTGCTTTAAACACCTTATCCTGCTTCTGCTGCCCAGTACTGGAAAGAAAGTTTTGCAACTACTTCAAGACTGGGTCTTAACTGGTCAGTGAGGAGAAAAATTAG